GTATAGTATGTTATGCCAATTGAGCTTGATGTCCCCTGCGACTATGGTCCCAAGCCCGCAGGATCAACTACTCGGTCCCTCTGGGTATGTAGCTTGAATTTTATAGAACTTGTAAAACCATGTCCTATCCTTTTTAAGAGCCCCATACCAATAATGCTCCATGAAAATTGTCCTTGTATATCCCCAAATGAAAGGATATAATGAACTTTTTTTTTCTTGTCACAACCTGTCCCTATCATTACTTAAGCTACTACACTGTTTTTTATTCTTAAAATTTCCTGGTGTTTTCATGTTACCCCTGAAATGCTGCAGACTTTTACCCTATAATTTTTAAACTGCTGACTTCAAGAGCTAAGGGAGTGTCTTATGACCATCTGACTCTGGAATGTCAATAACATAAAATGACTTAAACAGAAATAAAATTTAAAATAAAAATAAAAATTAGAACATTATCGAAAGTGATTTCAATTCATATATCCACTTTAGTATAGTGTTTCCATATAAATTCACTTCCTGTGGTTACTTCTGGTAAGATAACTAAATGTGATTGAAATATAAAAAACTCACTGTCATCACGTTGATGCCAACTCATGGCAACCCTGTAGGCAGAGCAGAACTGCCCTGGAGGGTTTTTAAGACTGTAAATCTTTATGGAAGCGGAAAACCAATCTGTCTCCCGTAGAGTGGCTGGTGGGTTCAAACTGCCTACCTTTTGGATAGTAGCCCAGTGCTTGAATCCCTCCATTTAAATTAATATGAAATATTAAGGAAATAATAACAGCATGAAATTATTTTGAAATGGTAAGGGCAGGATAATAAGTTGGATCAAAATGACAGTGGTAAATGTGTAGCATTGTTACACAGAATGGTACAGCTCCCATGAGTTTTAAAGGCAAGTCAAGTTCTTATATGGGTCCTCAGGGAGGCCTTCAATTCATTTATTGTGCATTCTGTTCTTTGTCATTAGAATGAACTACTGAGATTTTAATGACCTACTTTCTTGGCAACTATAATAAAACCAAACTATCTCAGTCTGACCTTTCCATTTATCTCTGATTTGAATCACTGCTTTGGGATAGTCTACCAATTATAACCCTGACAAACAATGACAAAGGGTCAGAATGGACAGTCATTCAAACGAAGAAGGCTAAAGATATGGTACAGATACCTTGTTCTCAGAATATATATTATAATATGATTGACAGGTCTTATGGAAATGTGTTGATTTAAGTATGATTTGAGTAGGGAAGTGGAAAATGCAAGTGTGTTTGGTTCAGTACCATAATTAAATTCCAGAAAAAACTAAGTGATAATAGGAGTGTTCTGTATAAAATTAATCCCATCTTTTTTTTTTTTTTTTTTTTTTTAGGATTTGGGTGAAGATTTACAGAATAAATTCACTTTTCATACAGCAGTTCACATATACTTTGTCTCATGTCATTGACCAAAATT